CCCTGCACCCCTGCGCCCGAGCGCCCCGCTCTGCTGCGCGCCGCTCCCGGCCCGGCCGAGCCCCGCGCGCCGCCTCCCGGCGGCGGGGCGGGGCATACTAATGTATGCTAATGGCCTCCGGCCGCGCTCGCCCCGCCCACCGCCTTAAAGGCCCCGCGTCCTGCGCAGGTACTCGGACCCCAGTCGCACCCCACGCCTCGCGCGAGCGCCGGACACTGGGGCTGCGGTGCCCGAAAGGAAGGAGATTTGCGAGCGTCCCCCGACGGTCTCGGGGCGGCGGGGGTGCGCGGGCGGGCGCCGAGTCCGGTGGTCGGGGCCGCCCCTCCCCCCCCCCCCGGGGCTGCCCCGGCTCCCCGCCTGTCCGCGCGCCCCGCGGACCCCGAGCCAGAGCCCAGATTCGTGGTCACGGCTGGGCACCCCAAGCGGCCTCCGCAGCGCGCCCGGCGGACGCCTGGTGGAGCCCTCGAGACGCGAAAGGAAGGGGTGGGGGCGGGGTGGGGGGCTGAGAGCGTGGGAGGGGCGGGGGCGCCGTCGGAGCGCGAGTCTCCCGGGGTCTGGGCGCGGTTGGGAGTCTGTGGGCTCTGGACTGGGGAGGCGGATGCTGACGTTTGTCCGAGGCCCGTGGGCGCTGGACACCGGCTGGGCCTGCCTCATTTATAATCTCATTGGCTTCTCACAACGTTTTACGAGAGGGAAACTATTATTCCCAGTTTTCGAACGAGGAAACTGAGGCCCAGAGAAATTAAGTACCCTGTGGGATCTTCGGTGGGGAGGGCTTGGGCGGGGCTCAGATGCACCCCCCACCCCCACCCCTTGTTAGAGTTCTCATCCTGCTGGGTCTACAACTCTGCCCAACCATCTGGTTAGTCACAGCTAGTGCTGTCGGAATTGAGGGCCCATTCTACGGAAAGGGAAACCAAGGCCCAGGCATTTCGGCTGGCTCCACGGCACCCTGTTGGGGGGGGGGTGAGGGCTGGGTTCCAGGCAAGCCTCCACTTCACCATCCTGCCCCAAGCTGTGGCCCCTGTGGAGCAAGGAGATTCTGCACCTGCTTCTGGAGCCCTTTGTATTGACAAGTTGAGATCCCATGTGGCGAGGCACCCTGGCACACAGTGACCTCTCACAGGCACAGCCCTACATTTTGCTCATGTGCATGGGGACAAGCTGGTTGTCAGTGGCAGAAACCAGCTCAAACTGCTTCTAGTCAAGGAAAGGAAATGTAGAGGCTTGTTAGATTGGGACATCCCAGGGCACGCTGATGTCAGGCAGGGCTGGATCAAGTTGCACAGTTTCTCCCTCCATTGTTGAGTTGTCTTCAGTCTCAGCCAAGATTTCTCCAAACGGGAGCAAAGGTGGCGCAGGGCCGCTCCAGCCAACGTCCTTGCAGCTCAGCAAGCCCAGCCACAGACGGACTCTTCCTGAAGCCAGAGGCCCACGGCCATCTTTTATTGGATGATGCAGATTATGTGTCTGTCCCTGAGCCAAACATGTGTCCGGGGGATGGAAATGAGCTGATCTGCCTGCACAGACTGTAGGAAGGAAGGGGTTTTCCAAAGGAAACGGGAGGTGATGAAGTCTGAGGAAGGGAGATGGATGGCAGGCAGGGCTGGATCAAGGGACTTGGAAGGGTTGCCAGAGCAATTGACCCCTGTGTAAGAGTTCTTCCTGCATTTGAGGGTTTGGAGCAGGATGCTGTGGGGGGACGCATTCCAGAGGATGGCGAAGAGGCGTGGCTGTGACGGTGGCCTCGGGAGCACAAACGTGAGTGTGGGCAGGCTGTGGTTCTCCTCGGACAGGTCCAGATGGTGGCTGGTGACCTCAGCGAGCACCAAGGATGCTTGCGGGGGGGGGGGGGCCCCTCATGCCGGGGGACTACCACACCACAGCTGCTGCTTTCTCTTGGAGCCTGCCATGGAATCCTGATGCGCGAATGTGGACGGAGTCCAGGCACCGAGAAGGGGCCGCTTTCACCATCAGATGGGCGACGTTGGAAAACTGATACGTCATCATGCGCCGAGGGTGTGGGAAGTGGGGACTTTGGTGCCACTGGGGTGGGGGTGGGGGGCCCGCTGGTACAGCCTCACTGGAAGGCCATCAGGGAGCAGATATTAAAATTTAAAAAGCACGTTTTCCATGGCTAGCATTCTTGGTGTCTGCCCTAGAAAAACGCTCCCGTCTTTGCACGAGAAGACGGATGCAGGATGTACTGGTTTAACGTCAGAAGCTGCCCGGACGTCCAGGCGGGGCGGACCGGCTAGAGCAGGGCTGCGGGCCTGGTCAGGCGTGCCCACTGTGGCCCGCGATGCGGGTGAGGGCACTGCCTGCCCATCTGTGGTTCCTGCAGCCTGGGGTGTTGTGTTCCGCCGGAGAGACAGGCACCTCTTGTAAGACCCACAAGGTGCTGTGGGAGCGGGCGGTGCTCTGGGCTGGCCACACTGGGACACACCCGGAAGATGTTGCACTGCCTGGGAGTTAGACAGGACCAGGTGCACCAGTTGGCCGCTTAGACGTTTTGTTGAGTGAAAAAACAAATTGTTTTTAAGACAACAGTAATTAGAAAAAAGCCACGAAACAACTATGTATTTACATCGACCACACGTGCGCGCACGAACACGTAGGTCTGTATCATCTTTCTGAGCCCTTGATCCAGCCTTGCCTGCCACCCATCTCCCTTTCTGTGGCGTCAGCACCTCCGATTTCCTTTAGGAAATCCCCTGTTGTCCCCGTCAGCCCAGGGGTTTGTGACACTGCCGCCCGGGCCACTCACTCGTTGCCGTCTCCCACTGCGCTCGTGTGAAAGCAGAGGGAAAGTTCTGGAGGGAACCCACTGAAGAGCACGGTGATGACTTCGGGCAGCAGGGCAAGGGGCGGCTGCCTTAGCTCCGCCCACGCTCCCCGGGCGCTCCCTCCCGCCACGTGCACCTGCGGCTCCTCGTCCTGGGGCCTCGGGCTGCGGGACGTCCGTGCCTGGGCAGCCCAAGCTCATGACCAGTCGAGGGAGATGCTCCGGGCCCGTGCACGTGACCCGCACCGTCCGGGCCGCCGGCTCTCGCTTCCCCTGTCCTTCCCATCCCCACTGCCAGGGCGGGTTCTCCAGGGTGGGTTTCCTCATTAGTCACTGTCACGGGGACCCGGTGAGGCCCCCGGGCCAAGGCCTTCGGCTTCCCGGCCTGTTCTCCATTCCCGCCAGGAGCGGCTGTTTCTGGTTTGCTTGTGTAACTGAAAATCAATAAAAATGAGAACAGGAGAAGTGTGCTATGTGTACGGGATGCAAAAGGTCGCTTACTCAAATGAGGTCCCCTCTCCGAGACAGGGGTCTGGAGGGCAGTGGTGGCCCTAGACCGGGGCCCCTGCCTTCGCTCTCGCAGAGTGGCGAGGCTCGGGCTGCATGCCCGATCTCCATCCACCCCTGCGGGGCTGGCGCCCAGGGCGGGGGATGAATCGTGAATCCCAAGTGTGGGACAGTGGCCCCGAGACACCCAGTCCTAACCCCCCGGGATCCAAGAGCGTGTTCCCTTATGTGGCGAAAGGGGCTTTGCCGCTGTGTTTGAGTCGAAGATCTTGGGACGGGACTGTCCTCGATGGCCAGCAAGGGGCCCAGGGCCGCAGACGCTGTCTCCTTGCCGTGGCCTCAGTGGTCGAGGCCCGTGCGTGTCTGCGTCCTGCTGTGCTCCCCGCGGGGACTCAGACGTAAGGGGCAGGTCTGCCCTGGTGACCCCACTTCACCCTGTCACCTCTGTGGGGCACTGCCTCCACACGCGGTTACATTCTACCGTGCTGGGGGTCAGGGCTCCCCCGGATGGGTTTGGGGGACACAATTCAGCCTGGACGGAAGGTGAGTGGTCACTGGGGCAGGGTCCCGACACGTGGTGACGTGGTCGTGGGAGCTGGGGTCCCCAGGCCTTACCCCATCGTGTCCCAGCTCCTCACGCCCACGCCGCACCTCAGTACGAGCTGGACCCCGCGCCGGCCACGTCCCTGTGCCCTGTGTCCCCGAGGGGCTCTGCAGCCGCTCCCTGCCCCTCGCCGGTCTCTCCTCGGAGGGTCCTTGCGTCCACCCTGCACAGGGGCGACTGCTTCCCCCAACTGAGAACCAGGCGGAGAAATTCTGTCTGCCGGTGAGCATCACCACAGCGCTACCCACAAGGGCCACAAAGCGGGAACACCCAGCATCCACGGGCCACGGACGGACGCACAGGAGGTGACGCTTTGACGAGCCACGGGCCGGGCGGTGCCCGAGTCCATGCGGGAAGTGTCCACAAGAGTCACATCCGGAGACGCAGCGCAGACGGCTAATCTGGGGGCTGGGGTGGAATGTTCTGGAATCGGGTGGTGAGGATGGTCACACAAGTCTAGGAGGATATTGACACCACACAGGGTGCGGGCCCGGCTCCCCCGCAGGGCAGGAGGCGCCCCGACGCGGGCCAGGGAAAGTGACGTGCTCTTCCTCGACCAGTTCCTGGAGGAGCCAGGCCGGCCGGGAGGCAGCCCCGCGCTCCTGGGAACCCAAGCCTCAGGGTTTCCTGCCGGCGCCCTGTGGTGTGGCCAGCGGTGTCCCCCAGATGCGCGTCCACCCAAACCCGAGAGGCAGCTCATCTGG